AAAAAAAAAAGAAAGAAAGAAAGAAATAAGGAATACAGAACACTCTTTAAAGGAACTTAGTTCTAAAACAATAAGGTAAAAGTAGACAAAAAGACTGAACTTCCTTCATTTTGGTTTTTATTGGGGGGGGGGATGAAAGATTTAAAACATGTTGATACATCTAATTCTCTGAATTTTTATTTCCCTGTCAATAAAATGGGATAACAATGCCCCTTCTGCATGGCCTTTTGGGTTGTTGTCAGAACAAGTAAGATGACATATGTGGAATATTCTGAAGTCCTATATAAAGGCCAATGTTATACATTTATAAATGTTGAAAACAGAGGTATAAAAGTTAAAAGTCTGGTGAAATATGTCCAGGTGGCTATAAAATCAGTGATAAATTATAATCAGTCTAGATCTAAAAATATGAATAAAAAGCTCCTTTTAACACATACACTACAAGTGGCTGACCCCAAGCCTTAGAGCTGAAACAGACTTTGAAGTGTCATGCTGGACAATTCTTCTGGCACTCCTAGGTTGTAGCCTGGGTTTCTAAATGTCTTCATTATTCCAGAAAAAAAAAAAAATAAACCATGCCAATGAACCCTGGCAGATCACTGTGCATTAAGTCATCTGGGAATTTATTAGTCTTATGAGTAGTAGTTCTTAAATAAAGATTCCTGGCAATTGCCCAGTTTCACAAAGCAATAGACTAGCTCCATAATTTAAGTCTCATGACCAGAGAAAGGATGGTAAATGGCCACAGCTTGCTGAGTATGTTATTCCAAGGGGTAATTGAGGTATTCTGGGAAGCAAGTTAGCCATTTTAGGACTTCCCTCCTGGGAAGATTAACCACCCCAAAGAATATGGCCCAATCATTATATCACTAGTCACGAAACCTTTAAACACTCCACAAAGAACATTATTTTTAGCACTATGACATCAGTGTAACTAGTTTCTCTCTCATAAAACTCCTGACAAGAAGTTCTAACATACGCCATCATTTTCCCCTGGGAAGACATCCCTGCAAAAGAAAAATGTCCTTTACTTTTCTCTGCACTTGTACACAACTCCCCTTTGACTGGGTTTCCTTGTTGCTGAAGTCTCCTTCTCAGTTATTTTATTTTCGTGAGTGTAGAGTGCTAATTAAGGTCAAGCAGTTATGTCTCAGTTCCAAATAGCAACTGTGCAGAATAAATAACTTTTCCTTACAAAAAATCCAGTCTTGAGACCCACATAAACCCTATCTGCAATTATTTTTTTGCCTTTAAAAAAAAATCTTAGACCCAGCCACAATGCTGACATGGTATTTCTTTTATTCATGTTTCTCATATATTTTATGACTACTGTAATAACTATTAACATCTAACACATCAATTTTTGGACCTTTTATCTACTGAAATACTGAGTTTCATTCCTAGGACTAAGGGACAATAAAGTACTTAGACATTACCTCAATCAACACTAAAAAGATAAGCCTTACTTTGCCCTAAAACAATATCATCAAACATTTACATAGACTTTTTTAGATAATCAAGTATGTTTCATAAATTTGCCTCATTTAATCTCAAATTTGTTCTGTACATTTATTCTTCTTCTGGTTAGCAGAAGAAAATTATGAGACCCACAGAAGCTTACAAGCATTCCCAAGTCTACACAGTTGTTTAGGACCACAGCCAGACCTATTTCCAGGGTCCTCTAATTCCCTAACTCTTTCCACTGCACCGCAGAGGGCCCCCATCATGTTACCCCCTCTCCTTTTATTTAACTTCTCTAGCAACATGGAAAACAGTCTGGCTCTCTCTCTGAAGTCAGTAAGAATCATTGATGAAACACAGACATAAATTCAGTTCTTCTTCCAGTGAAAATACATAACATATTAGTTATATAAGGAATGTTATGGGATTATTGTGGATGTGGAAAGCTTGAAAGCTTTTTAAAGGAATGCACAAATGATGCTTGGCATCTTGAAAAGGCCAGAGAAGATATTACAAACAAATGACCAAATGTGGAATGAGGGGAAATTCCATTAACAATCAAGTATTTTCAGCTACATGGTTTGTTTTTATTTCATAAAGGCACTTCTTTCATGGAAAACCCTTGTTTTTGAAAGGATTTCAAATAAGCATCATGACCCACCTGTAGATGGAGAAGGAAGCCACTGATCGAATGAGGGACGCCAAAGCCCCCACCTTGGCAGCTTCTACTGCCCCCTGGACTCTGTATTTCACTGATGTTGCATAGCTGATGTAAGGTTGGTTATAAACAACAATCTTCCCTTTTGCTTCTATGGCTCTTCTCTGCAGTTCATCGAATGAGTTCACCACCAGAACTTCAGCTGTAATGCCTAGAAATAAAAGTCATATGAGATTAACTTATGGCTTCCCATCAGCCAGGTTGAATGGGCACACCAAAGGTCACACATGCTCTTCCCTCTACATCTGGCAAACTGCTTTGAGAAGATCAAAGTTTTAGAGCCATTTACCATGGGAGAAAGATTGTGGGGTCAGCCAGTTTCCCAAAAGAGAGAAAAAGCATTCAAAATGATGTAACATACGACTCATAAGGTTTTTCAACTTACTTGACCAGCTAGTATTAAATCATAAATTGCTTGAAAAGATAGCTTCTTTTTCCCCTTCTTTCCCATCCAAAGAGGTCATGAATTTCACAGAATGACGCTAATTATTTATTTAACAAATACATTTCAGAAAGCTCCCCTTAGGATTAATGAAACACATATTTATCTTTTCATAAAACTATTTTGATATGTTGCTAAACAACCTACAATGACTTCATACAAAGGATGGCAATTTGCAAAGAATACGTGTAGAAGCCAAGGTTCTTCATAAATCCAACTTTTAGCAAATGGTTAATGTAACCTCTCCCAAGAGCCACAAAAAGTCGGCTTGTTTTCTTTCCTCCTTTGTATAAAAACACTTTTAAAGGATGTGGAAATGTCCCAGGCTTCTCAATTTACAGTACTTGTTCATCATCAAACACACTCCTCTTCTCCAAATAAAAATTATGAAAACATTGTACAATTGTTCTGTAACCCTGTTGTCGTGGTTGGAAGAGGTGTGCCTACTTTTCTCGTACCACAAGACTTGCCTAGGTCTTCCTGATTAGAGACCAGGGTTTCACTTCTTCCAAGAAGTCATTCAAAACTGCCAGACTACTAAAAATACAACTCGATGGGGTAGTTAGAGTGACAAGAAAAAATATTTAGACACAAAGGCCAGAGGTAGTCACTAAATGTAACACCTAAAGGAAAGTGGTAGGAGCCTACGGTTTTGCGGTGTTAGCCATTAAGTCCGGAAATATATCAGTAAAACCCCAAGTATCATATATTTAGCGTACTTAATATTGCAAACTGGAGAATTAGTTTTTTCTGAAAGCTTAACAAATGTGAACTGTTACTCAGAAAATCTTTTTAAAATGCACTGCAGGTACCAGAGAATTCTTGCTTTCAGGGTAGGCTGCATTATAATGGACCCTTTGGGCTGGCTCCTTTCCTGCTTCTGTTTTCACTATCCAGTCTGAATTTGTACTTTTACTTTAAAGTGATTGGCTACAAATCTATAAGCATGTCTCTACCAATACTCAGAACTTAAAATATAATCTAGAAGAAGCAATTTATAATTATGAAAAGTAAGGAAACCACCAGTTTTTTTCCCACATGATAAGCATGCATTCAAATACAAATACAAATAGGTATGTGGCTAGACAGATTTTGAGATTCATAACTTTCTGAAGCCTGAAGTTACCTTGAAATTTGACTGGCGTTATTGTTGGCATAGTATGGGGATTTTGCTGATGGTTTTCAGCTGCTCCTAATGAATAACAGGTTCAATGGTCCACCCAAGGGATGTCCCAGCCATGGGGTAATTTTGGTATCTGGATTAGAGCCACTAGAAATGAAGCCAAATTTCTATAAATTTTCATGGGCCACTGCAAAATTAAAGTCATACGAGAGTGGTATTTCACTATGGTCTACGCTTCAATTCAAATTCTTTTAACAACCAAAAAAGTAGAGTCCGGAAGAGCCAAATCCTTACCTAGACACCACAGTTGCCAATGCAAACCTCTGGTAGCAGCTACAGATCAAATCCTATCACCAAGGACTTGGAAGAAGAGTTCAAATTAAAGTTTACAGTCACCTCTTATTCCTTTATCTCCGTTATTCCCACATCCAATCAATCCTCAAATACTGATCACTTTACCCCTAAAAATCAATATTGAAATCATGTCCTCTGTTCCACCCCCTTATACTGTCTCATATCAGACCCTCGTTACCTGTCTTACAGACTTCTAGGAGCCCAGCGCTCCCCCCACCACTGTTGTCCCAGCCTCCCGCCTCGCTCCCTCAAATTTAACCTCCGCAGAGCTGCCAGAGTGGCCTGCTTCGACGACTGAAAATCCAGATCTGCCTATGAGACCTGACATTTCCTCTTCATTTCAACATACTATTCAAAGTCTATGTCTAGAGACACTGGCTCCCTTTTATTTTAAATTTCATCAATATTAAACTTAAAAGGTCCCACTTTTACACCGTTTCACTCCTCAGGGTCTTCATTTATGCCTTGTATATCACGCCTTGTGGACCCCATTCTCCCAACTTCATCATGGGACCAACCTCTATCTATCCCTCAGGATTCCATTGAAGAATCACTTCTTTCAGGCACATTCCCGGGCCTCCTCTCTCCCGTCCCATCCTTCCACTCCCACCTCAGGGAAGGCTGGGTCACACACCATCCTCCTCTAGACTTTCAGGGCACCCTGGGCATGGGAAAAATGAAATTTTCCCTAGTTATGGCCTTCTCCATTGCTTAAACTGATTTTCTCAGAGTTTGGGGGGCATGTTCATCTTTGTTTGTATCCCTAGGGACTAACACAGTGCTTGGTGTACGTATAGGCAACAATCATTGAACACTCTTTGAGTGGCACTACTCCAAAGACGCAACCACTGACAGGGTCTGAAGCATCTTCACTAGTGTCCAGTTTTACCATTAATGTTGGATAGCCCTTCTCCTATGGGAGCCCTACAGTCTGACTCCCTTACTACACTGAGTATAGTCATTGCAAAACAATGACTAAGCAGAATAGGTCTTGGGGCAGTCAAACTATAAATATGAATTCCAAGTACAAAAACTCAGATACTTGAACTTAAGAAAGCTCTTCTGATCACTCTCACAGCCTAGCTACCTTTACTGTGCACAAAAGTGTACATCTGTTATTGAAGTTCTCCATCTGTTATTGAAGTGTATTAGCAGTGAGAAACAACAGATCAAAAGGAGAAGCCTGCAAACTGGCAGCAGCTCTACAGAAAACAATGTCAGAACCAGAAACATACCAGATAATTCATACTAACTGAACTTTCTGCAACGAAAGAAATGTTCTAACTCTGTGCCAGACAGTAGCCATTAGCCACATATGGCTATTGAGCTCTTGAAATGTGACTAGTGTAACTGAGAAACTGAATTTTTAATGTTGTTTAATTTTAATTAATTTATATTTACATTTAAATAGCCATGTGTGGATAGAACTTACAATCACTCCCGGCTCAAATCATTGCGTAGAGCAAATAGCTGGGGGCATCTCTGCTGGCCCCAAGGAACTTGATTTGCTCTCGTCCAGTAACAGACATGACAGTCATGAGGATGTCCCTTTCCAGTGCTCACAGACCAGGAGGATTGTATTCAGTAGCTGTCATTTGGGAAGGCAGGAGGATACAAAACATTTTAAGATTTTTGCTTAAATTGAAACCGAATAAAATTAAGCCATCTGGAAAACTTCTCTTTTCTATATTAGTTTGTGTTTGTTACATCAAAGGCAATGCTCATGCTGTCCTACAAATCTGCAAGTTTCCACTTCTTTTTCCATTTTCCCTTCTTCCCATCTTCTCATTCTCAACGGTGGTTCAGAAAAACCTCAAAGAACAAAACCAGTGCCATGTTCACACTGAGGCCTACCCTGACATCGCTATTCATAACTGCAACCCACTCCCAACCTCCTTCCCCTCTTAGCTTGCTTGATTTTTCACAGTATTTATAAGCACCAGTTGTTCCCAGTACAATGATGTAAGCTCTGGGGGAGAGGGGTAGAAATTTTTGTCTGATTTATTCCATTAACATTACCCAAGTGCCTGACACGGTGCCTGACACATAATACATGAAATACACACGCACACTACTGAATAAAGAGAAAACAAAACAGTATACTGTCAAATCCTACCCCTGATTACCCTCCAGAATACCCTATCCCTGATTACCTTCCAAAAATGTATATTTCCAATGAACTTGCATATTTCAGTAGGTCAGACAATTAATAATAATAGCAGCATTGAATGTTTATTATTTATACTAATGTTCACAGCAACTCTGCAAAGTAGTTTATTATGAGGATACTGAGGGAAGAGAAGTAAGTTAACACAACTTCTAGGTGTTGAAGCTGAGATATGAACTTTGGGGTGTCTGAATCCAGGGGTCATGGTCTTCCTATTAACCGCATTGTTATCTTCTCTCACAAACATAAAATAAATCAAAAGTAAAGGTCATCATTTTCATTTCAAGAGTAATAAGAAGGAAAAATAAGTAAGTGTACACAAGTTTCCTATGTTTTCAGTTATCAGTTGCTTTCCTTAGTCTACACAAGATCCTGCTCATCAGTCAGGGTGCTGTAATCACTCTAGGTCTATTATCTATTAACGGGTAGACTGGCCTGGGTGCTTCACTGTGGGACAAGAGTCACCAGGATCGGCTAGAGTAATGGAAAGGATTATAGGGTTTAATACCTAAAGAGAATGTAGGGTAATAAGCGAAGGATATTCATAAAGTGACTCTTTTGGCTATAGCCTATGATAGCACAAAAATGATAGGGAAGTCCTCAGGTTCCTTTTTAGTTTCCACACTTGATTTCAAAATCGGTCAATTTATTTTTTAAGCCACTTACTGTGGCAGTCTCCTTGCAGAGACGACAGGTGCTGACTGCTATGGCATTGGCTCAGACCATTCCTTCCATGGAGAATTTGATAACAAGACTCCAATCTCTGTCTCTTCTGACTTGATTCCTTCCCAAAACAGTTAAGAAGAAGAAGATAGTGAAGTAAGAATTTTATAATGTTTTCTTGCAGTAAAAGGAAAAGACTACAGACAGAAAAATGTATCTCTGGGCTCAATTCAGTATGGTAAGGTTTAGGAAATTTATTCTTATTTCAGAAGAAGACTTAACTTCCGAACAGGAAATCATCCAGCCCTACCCCAAAGGAAACCTAGCTTTTTACTCTTATCATGCAGTCTTCTACCACGTACAATGCAAGGTAACTAGGTCCGTGGAATGGCTGGTTTTTCC